GATGTTTCCCAGCCAATGACTTCTGGGAATGGCACAGTGGGCCAGTGGATGAACGGAATGAGGCATCGAGTTTCCTTGGGCAAGATTATGAATGAGAAAGATCAGTATCCAAACAGGTAGGGACATCTAACACCTGGTAGGAATTCTGTAATGGGCGCTGGCTTTGATGATAAACAGGATTGCTTCCCTACTGGACTCTGGGATACTCCTTAGCATCTGGGTATTCTACACAAGATGCTCAGTTTGGGGAAAGGCAAGACAAAGGCAGTCTCATCATCAATATCGTGGTTCTTAACTACTGATGTTCCCTAATGTTCTTCATGAAAAATGGAGGCTAGAGCAGGTAAACTGGGGCTAAATACGAGAGAGTGACAGAGTTGGAACAGACCTGTAAGAATAAGATTAGGAAGGTTAAAAGCTCAGATTAGCTGAGTCTTTCAGTGGAAGCTAAGGACCACAAAACACCTGTGCTAGAGGCAAAAAGGAACTCCAAGAAAGCAGAGGCTGATGCAGAGATAGGGCATGGGACGTGAGAGATAATAGAGGCTTCTACTTTTTCTCAACCAAGGATAATATTTAATTTTCTAAGTATAAAACAAAAATAGTTAATAGAAAATTGAAACACAATGGTAGTCAGGAAATCTCAGGCTTGAGTCTTACCCCTCAAACAAAATACCTGCGCAAACATGAGCCATTCACTTAACTTCCAAGTGCTCCAGGCTTCTCTCTATACATGTAAGTTACAGAGGAGTTGCTAATCCTTCACTGGAGAGTTTGCATTATAAGATTTCCCTATGCTGGTGAAATGACAGGTCTGGATTAAAACACACAAAATAAGAAAGGGATGGCAAGAGGGCCTCTATATGCCCTCAGTGAGTTCAAGTCACCCAACCTGAATGACCTACCTCACCTCCTCTATCACAAAAGGAAAATAAAATACTCCCTTTTCTTTGTAAAGCATAGAAACATCACAGGCAACATCAGGGAAACCCTTAGGGAGGATGTGGGTTCCACATTCTGTAGTTTATGATAATATAAGAAGTTCATGCTCTTTCTAAGTATTTTCCGGCATGGAGCCCAGGAATCATTTCCTACCAGCTAAAATTGATTTTGGGGCTCAAGGATAATTTAGAAATTGGAGGTTGAGATATAGTGAAAGTTATTTGGCCAAGTCTACCCATGGAAAACCAGGCAAAGGGATATTAAACACATCTTAGGAATCAACTGAGCAAACATGCACAGAGGAAGCTAAAGCTTCAATCCTGTGATTTTCAAAACAGAAAGACTATGAGTGAACTCGTTATTGTTAGTATTAGTTTTTGAAAATGTGGAAAAGGAGGTGCGTAGTTTGCATGGCTACATGGGGTCACCCCACACATAGCCTCGTATAAAATGTGAAACAACCCTTGAGAAATCCATCTATAGAATAAGGTACATGTTTTCATGCTAAGGGTCGGGCTCACTTTTAGCAGCAGCGTGCCTGCCAATCTCTAATGCTCAGAGGCAGCTGCGAATCTTAGGAGCAAGCATGCCACTCCTCTGTTCCTATAACACACTAAAGATTTAGAGATCCTACTGACTTTTCATCAGGTACTTGTTCAACCTTTTCTTTCTTTCTCTTTTGTTTTCTGGTGCAAGAAAGAAGGCAAATTATTTTTTCCCAGAATTATGTGGAGTCTTTTGAGAATAATTGCAACACAAATAACCAGACAGGTTTTTCACAGCTTGGGTAAGCTAATCACTTCCTGAAATGATAGCATATAGATTGGATACAGGTGAGAGGATGGAGGAGAAGAGGAAGCGAAAGTGCATTGAATTATAACATCATAGAAATCCTCACACCTTTTTGCTTTAATGTGAAGACAAGTAAAATAACACAAAATGAAGGAATGGAGTTAGAAACAATGAGCTGCTGCTGTCCAAGATGGAAATTAAAAGCCTGTGAAGTTATTTATTTATTTTTCTTGCCCTCATATTTAGTTTTGTTTTAAGAAGCCAGTATGTAACTCAAATGATTTGGTAGATGAGGACTGAGTGTCTATCCAGTGTTTCAAAAAGAAACACCACAAAATGGCAAGAGCTCAGGGTTTTTTCAACCAAGATGCTATTTTTTTTTTGTTTTTCATTACGCTCACAAATACGTTGTAAACCTGGATTAATTTGTATTACACAGGTCTGACAAACCCCTTCAGTTTCCTAACTAAAAAGCAAATACATGGAATGCCAGTAATGACTTCCACTAGCCAGCATAGTCATATTTACATCTACAGGCAAAATGTTATGGTGTAAAGGAACTAGGAACTCTGGTGTCTGTAAACCAGGCAATGTAACTTGCCTTACTCCAACTTCATGAAGACTGAAACATCATACGCTCATAGCTCTAAAGTTGGAAGGGTCATCAGAGGCCATCTAGTCCAAACATCTCATTTTATAGATGAGGAAATGAAAGCCTAAAAGAAACATGCCCAAGGTCACATGATAAGAAGTATCTAGAACCAAGGTGAGATTGTCATACCTCAAGGATTCTACTCCACAATTCCAGGTAAGAGATGACTTATAGCCCATATGGAATCAGCCAACACTGATCCACAGACTTTATCATCTTTAGGATTGCCCTTGATGGTTTTGAATCTTTCCCCTTTGTGCCTAATCTTAGCCTTCTGTGAGACCTAGGAAAACTACCCTTTCCCTCGGGATGCTTTCTTCTGACAAGTTGGTCATGATCTATTTCTAACTCTTTCTCCTCTTAGTCTGAGCACTAGGAAGCATCTTTCTGGAGGATGCAGTCTTTACCAACGGATCATTCTGACATTCCTAGGAGAATGTTTGGTCTCTTTTCTAGATGAGGACTTGCTCCTGTTGTATTGCAGGTATTGCAGGTTAGAAAATTAATGGGTAAGAGTTTGATAATTATACCAGGGAAAATAATATATCAGACCCTGGGGTCCCTACTGATTTTAAACATGCAAATTCCCTCTTTTCAGAGATTCCACTTTCAAAGACTTGTGGCAGTTTAAAGGCAATCCTCTTATAAGTGTACAAATTGTAATGATTATAGGAACAAGTTGTAATTGTTTCTAGTAAGTTTTTAAGACTCTTTGATGTTATGATTAGTACTTTGTATGCTAATATATTGATAGGGGTGCTTATTTGCCTGGATGCCTGAATGTGGAAGTGGTCACTAGGTTTTCTGAAAAAATAAATCTTTAATCTCAGTAGGTTTATTTGTTAAACATAAAACCAAAAGGAAATTAAATGCTGAGGTGCAGTAATACTAAAAAAGAACTAACATTGAGAAATTGATGGAAAGTCTCTAAAGCCAGATTTTGTAACTTCACTGTGAAAGTGATCAAAAAAACTAAACACACGTTAAGCTGTTCTTGTATGTCTCATGACAATGACATCATTATGTTATGCCTCTGCTGTCCTTAGGATATAGCAACATTCCATGACGCATTTTGATGGCACAATGAGCAAATGTAAGGCAGCGCAATACAAACCAATGGCTTTTCTTTTCTACACTGGTCTTGTGCCCATAAGTATAAGCACGTTTAAGAATTCTGAACCCTTCTAATGCTTCAAAAGATCAAGGATGTCTTTAGTTTAAGTATCCCCTTAACCAATGAAAATTTGCAACCCCTCTAAGTTTTTGTAGATGGTTTTGTGAGCTTCTGTGTCCAAAGAATTTCACCAATTTGTGGCTAACTCTGTGGTGATAAATTTGGTCTAATAATATAAACAAAACTGTCCAGTATAGTGGATATCATTTTGACTTGGAGTCATGGAGGCCAAGGTTCAAATTCTACCTTTTGATACTAACAGAGAAGTCATGGACAAGCCATTTAACCTTTATAAAACTTAGTTCCCTCATTGGTAAAATGGTGATAAGAGTAGCTATACTACTAGCTAGTTTGTGTCTGTAGTGGGAATGTGAGGTCCCTTTGTGTGATCATACTGACGGAATCTAAGTATTGAAGTTAACATGATAATGGTAAGAAAATGTGTACCTACTAGGCTCAAATGAGATAGCAACTATAAAATGCTTTGCAAACTTTCAAATGCTATATTTTTGTGGTTGTTGAATCATTTTAGTCGTGTCTGACTCTTCCTGACTCCATTTGGGGTTTTCTTGGCAATGATACTGGAGTGGTTTGTTATTTCCTTGTCCAATTCATTTTACAGATGAGGAAACTGAGGCAAACAGTGATTTGTCCAGGCTCACAACTGTGTCTGAGGCCAAATTTGAACTCAGGAAGGGGAGTCTTCCTGATTCCAAGCGCGGTGCTCTATCCATTACACCACCTAGCTGCCCCTTAACATGCTGCATAAATACCATTTAATAACAACAACTTGTATTTCTGGTGCTTTATGATCACAAAACACTTCCCAATCCATTATCTCATTTGATTTTCATGACAACTCTGTGGAAGTCTTATTAGCCAGTTTTTACAGATGAGGAAACTGAGGTCTGGAATGGTCATTATCTCAAATAACTAGTAAATCTAGTCAATCCTTTCCAATAAACAATTTAGAGCAATCTGCAAGGTAATATGACATGAAACTACGCAACTTTATATGGACAGTTATATTTCAAGGAAAACTCATTTATTTAAAGTTTATGCCCCAAAGTAGGAATCTGAAACCTCATTAACTGATGAAACTGACAGTATGCAATTACTGAAGTGAAGGTTGAAACTGATAAAATAATGTGTACCCAGCAGGAAACTCGTATGCTGTGTCAAATAAATGGGTGACACAGCATATAAATAATTTTACAATATTTTATACTGCATATTTTACATGTTAAAAACACCAGTATTTTTTCACTTGGATAAAAAGAAAATAGGGATGTCAAAACATGCATGTGCAGAAGAGAGGCCTATACCCTTTGCCTTGTTTTTCCAGGCCAGTCCATTTGTTGCTGCTATCCATTTTGCAATAGGCAGGTTTCAATACTCCCATTAATGCCTTCCAAAGAAAGAAAATCATCTTATGTTTACCTTTGCTGTACACAATGCAGTTGTTTTTGTTGTCTTCCACTCCTTGCCAAGTCACATCCAGAAGCCACTTGGGGCCAGCAGTCAGTACCATGGGGACAGGAGCCTTTGTCTTCTGCAGAAAGAATGATAACAAACAGATGCCATTTGCTTTCGTTGATTAAGAACTTGAATAATAATAGTAATAATGATTTTATATTTGCAAACAACTAAATCTCCAAACCCATAATCCAAGGACTTATTCCCCTGCCTCGCAGTATTTTTTCTTTTTTTAAGATGACAGAAGCTATAAGGCTTTACAGCTTTCAGTGATCTGAATGGTGGAATTATTATCAAGGATTTTTTTTTTTCTGAATGATATGGGATCAGATCTCCAAGATTAGGCAGATCTCTCGTGGCTCAGAATTATAAAGAGAATGCAGATGACTTTCACTGCAAAGAGCAGAGTGTTTAGAAGTGAACTTTAGACACATTGTACTTTCATATCAACAGGATCTCACTATTTCCTGAAACAGACAGGAAAGAATTTAAAGAATCAGTATCCATTTCAAAGCTCTATCCTGAGGAACATTTATATTCGAGTAGGAAATTATTCTGAATGGATAATGTAGTTTCCCTCCCCTCCCCCTCTCTTTTGCTATGTGTTGCTGTACTATTTGACTGTAGCGGGAATAATAATAATGTTAATGATTCACTATATGTTGTCTCCAGAAAGGTTGTGAAAGAAATGTGAATGATTTCAAATGCTGAGAGAGAAATTAAACCATCACGTTCCTGACTTTCTTGCAGAGTCACACAGGTTGTGAGATACACATTGATAGTTTTTACAGAAATATTACCAAGTGTACATTTTGGATTCACTAATCCAGGGGCTCATTTTGTGGGGGCTTTTTAAGCACTGAAATTAATTAAGCACAGAAAACCAACTTGTGAGGAATTTAGCAAGCCTTAGCAAGCTAGCCTTTTTATTCTTGCCACAAGCTTGAGTGAAATGCCATTTAGTCTTTTATCATTCACCAGCCCATGTTCCGTATATCAAACATCATGAAGGCACAACACAGAGCACAATAAAAGGGTCTCAAGGTAATTTTGAACTGAATTTTCACCTTGATATAATCCTGTCAAAGGGACTCTAGTCCATTTGGGGACTTTGCCACATGTTCTATGCTATCACAGATTTCCCCAGTTGGCACCAATAGTTGTTCACTTGAGGCTTTCCATGTGATCAACTGATTTCAAATCTTGGACGAATCTGTAAAACCTATTTGACACTCATCTGGACAGCTCTAGTGCATTGGATAGCAAACTCATATTTGTAACATTGTAAGTGGATGTAAAATTAATGCGATCTATAAATCCTGGCCCAATATTATCAGACATACTAAGATGACAATATAACATAACATTTGATAAAGAAATTACAATATTAGATAAATAATAAAATTAACAAAGGTCACATACTGCATTGAGAATTTTGATGATCCAAAGAAAAGGCAGTTAGCTAATAAGGATAAATTATGGAAAAATTATTTTATCTAATTTTATAAGAAGACCAATAATGTATTATGAAGAAAGTATTTTGTCAGCCAAATTTATTATATAGAATTAGGAAACACACATTAGAAACAAGCCAAAGTTATCTTATTTCAATGTGGGAAAGAGGTGATGATTCGGTATTAATGCCTAAAAAGTTTCATCTTCAGCACTAGGGCCTAATTTTCTGTCTTTGGGCTGAACTAGCCAGGCCTATAAAAAATGCAGGTGCAGCATAGGCTCCTAACAAAATTCAGAAATTCGTGTAAAAATGGTGTTTCATTTGTGCAAGCTGGTACTAAGGTTATCTACAGAGTTGTCCATTTCTTGGTGCTGACTTTGTATGTGTGTGTAAATATAAGCCCTTATAAATGTCAAACTGATGTTCCATAGGAGCATCTCTTCCGCCCAGGGATGAAAATTAGTCTTTGAAGGACTCTATATTCTGTCTAGGATATGTTCTATTTGACAGTTGGTGCTTTTGGTGATGTAATAATATGCCACGCACATCAATAATTTATCTAGTTGACATTATTACCTATCCTCTTGTTTTTAAATAATCTCTTAATCCCACTTGCTACTATTTTCCTACTCCAAGGATGGGGGTAGGGAAAGGGAGAATTAATGACTTGAAAAGTAGTGAACACATCTATATATCTATATCTCTCTCTCTATATGTGTGTGTGTATATATATATTATGTATATATATATGTATATATATATACATATATATACATGTGTGTACACATAATATATATGTATATGTTCAGATTTTTTAGTTAGAAGGTAACTTAGAAGTTGTCTTGTCTTACATCTTAGTTTTAGAGATAATGAACTGAGGCCTAGAGAGGTGAAGGTGCCCAAGATCACAAAGGTTGTAAATGGCAGACTTGGGTTTTGAATCCATGTCTTCTAAATTCCAGATAGAGGGATCTTTTAACTGCCCTGCACTACTGCTGCCCCAAATGTTTACTGCCATGTAAATCACAGTATAATAAAACCAGTCATTATAATTTTGAAGGCCAGACTCCTTAATTGATACATTTGGTCAAAGATATATGAATCTTATAGCCACCTCTAGTACAGCTTAATCAAGCTAAATCATAATAATTGATTTGCTTTTCCAATGATTGATTTTGTGGAGTCTTTATTAATGTTTCAGACAATTCTGTTGAAATAAGTCTTGTAGTAACTCAGTATACCTGGGTCAGATGTTGTTAGTTAAACCACAGAATTTGGGGCAACAATATTTTTTCAGCCAAAGGCTGAAAGGCAAATGTAAAAATCAATAAGGAACTGAAGAATGCTAGAATCAGGCTGAGGGGGGAATGACAGCTAACAGGAGAAATGTCAGGGAAAGCTATGCTGTTTGAGAGGCAGTATAAATCAGATTATTGATAGGGAAATCAACTTCTGCAGACTTCTACTTGACCACACTCTTATAAGAAGGTCAGGTATACAGGATAAGAGAGTTAGTTGAGACTAACTGAAGTCTAAACAACACGACCCCCAAACCCATCATAAAAAATAAATTTTAAAAATAGGGCTCAATTAAAATGACAAGTCATCATACTTTTATTTCCTAAGCTATAGACTGTAAGTTCCACAAGGTTAAGTAACTTGTAAAGAGAAACACAGCTAGTAAATATCAGAGGCTGGATTTGAACTCAGGGCTTCTGAACTCCAGGCCTACTACTGCATCCACCGTACCACCTAGGAGCCTCAGTACTTGTATAAATATACACCACATGTGCATGAAGTGAATGAATAGAAATATAAACAAAGCAGATAAGTACAAAATAGTTTATGAGAGATGGAGCTAGAGGTTTGGGTATTAGGAAAGGATTTATGCAGAAAATGATGCTTGAATTGTATCTTAGAGGAAGAGACTGACTCTACTAGGTTGAAATCTGGAAGTAGTGTTTTCCAAGCTTATGGGATGGCCAATGCAAAAGCATAGAGTTGGGATATGATATTACATGTGTGAAGAGCTGAAAGCAAGCCACTTTGGCTGAACCTCAGCATGAAAAAAGATGACTAAAGTTCAATGGGGATGGATATTCTCATAGCCTGTGGCCGGGTTGTATAGAGGTTTATAGCTAAAGAGAGATTATGAAAATAGCAGCTAATTTTACCCATGTGTAAGGGCAAAAAAAAAAGAGATGATAGAACCTTATAGTATCTTAGAGTTTTATGGACATTATAGTTCAGAGAACTGCCTCTTATCCACATCAAAAGCAGTAAGATAACTACATTTGGATGCTTACATCATAGTCCTTGATAGGGGAAGTGGTAATGGCACTGGAGAAAACAAAGATAGAAGAGCAGGTGGAAACAGGGTCAATTAGGAATTAATTATCAAGGCATCTGAAGGAGACCAAGATTCTAGAAGTGTGGGAAAAAATCTTAGACTTTATTAAGGATTACAGCTGTCACAAGACATGATGTGTACCCCTTCCTTGGAGGTCTTCAAGCAGAGCCTGGGCAATCTTTTGTCAGGTATTTGTTGGGTATGTTATGGTGGTTATTCCTTTTGTGTATGGGTTGGGTTAGATGACCACTGAGGTCCCTTCCAACTCAAAATCTGTGAAGAGAAAGAATATCAGTGACTGACCCATATACTTACTTTTCCATGAATATTATTATTAAAATAATGATGCACACAAGTGTTGAGGTTTGTAGCAGGGAACAGTTAGACATTCACGAGTGATATATTACAAACACCACATCCTTACTACCACACAACTGATGGAATAATATAGAGAGTACAAGATCCTGCTGTAATTTTTATTTATTTACCATTAAAAAAAGGCATTTGATTCAGAGAAATAGAATTGTGCCTTAAAAGACTCTCCTCCAAAAATCTGTTTCACAGGTATATGTTAAGATTCTTTGAAATATGTAACCAATATGCTGTTGTTTGATGACTATCTCATCCTGAAGTTAAGCATATTAAGCAAAGCATAAAACAAAGAAATATATGCTCACCAAAGATGATTGCTGATGTAATGGAGGAGACCTAAAATAGAATCTAAGTTAAGTAGGGAATGCTCACAGAATTAGGAGTCCCCGAGAAACTGCTATTTCTGATAACATTACATTGAAGACATTAAGCCCTAGAACAATTTAAAGGGTACCCAAGTCAGGGATTATATTATAACTGACCTGAGAAACTAGCAGCTGTCTCAGAGGGAGAGAGGTTGGAAGGCTGCGCAGCAGAGGGAGAGGGTAGAACGGAAGATTATAAGAGGATGAAAGTAGATGGCGTTGTATTGGAGACAAGCATGATGGTCATCTGTTTTGGGGAAGGTGGGATTCAATCCATCTTTTCAGCCTGTGATCAAATGACCACACGTCCCTTGAGGTTAGACTACAACACCCTTGGTGCCAGGGTAAAGCCCTTCAAGGAGACTCAGGTACTACTTTGGAGATCACTGATTTAGACAAAATACAGTTGTGCAGTTGAACGGATGACCCACAACATTTACTCATCAGTTTCATTCACCCCACTCTCTGATCAAATTATATTGTTTTGATCCCTACAATATCTCTGGCATATTCTCCTCTCTACTCACATGGCC